TGCTTGGTAACGTTGAAACTCAATAGAAAAAAATTGTTCTTCAGCTATAAACGTCAGTTGTTGCCTCATGCTTACCTACAATCCCTTGAATCCCACCCAGCGAGATCAGCCACCCTCTTTAACGACCTTCTCCACTCATTTACGTGTTCTCGATAATTTACTTCATGTTCCGCAAAGGCTTCGCCAAACCTCCCTCGTTGATGGCGTACATCAGAAGGATCCACGCCATAAAAAATGGGAAAAATTCTTTTTCTCTTTCATGCAACGAACAATATGAGTAAGTTCTCGCAAACACCAACTTGAAGAAGCAAAGTTTGTCGAAAGAACTATGATTGCAGACATTGATTGGTCAATTGCCCTCAGGAGCTTTGGATTGATATCTGTCCCTCTTTCAAATTCTGGTTCGTCCCTGAAAGTCTTGATTCCTCGCGCCTCCAACTGTTTGTATAAATGATCTGTAAAACCCCGGCGGGTGTCTTCACCTCTGAAACTCAGAAACACATCGTATTTCCATGGAAAAACTGTGGGAGCAGAAGCCCGGGCCATTTGGCTGCTCAACGCAGATTGGCGAGTTTTTCGCTCTGAGGCGCCCAATCGACGCCCAATCGAACTCTCTGAGGCGCACTTCGACAAAGATTGGCGAGTTTTTTGCTGACTCCCACAAAACAGAGGCGGCAAGCCACCCACCTAGCCTCTGAGGCCGCCTAGGTGTGCCTCGAGGTGAGTATTTTAAAACACAGTATATATATATACACACATACATACATATGGGTTCGGTTACAAAATTTTGTCAATTGAAAATGATACTTTTATGTTATTATTTACTTGGTACATGAATATGTTTTATTTTGAAAATGAAAGATAGACTATACTGGGAACAAAATTCTTGAGACTGTTTGGGTGTGCCTATGGATGCTAACTTGGTTCTTAGAGACTGTTTTGCATTGCTTCTTTCCTTACTACGTTATATGATATGGACATAATTTTTTTTTTTTAATCATTTTGAAGGTTTTATGGACCTTTGATTTTTTAACGTGCAAGTCATCAAGAGAAAATCAAGCATGTAAGCCATAATTACAGTAAAAAATATCCCGCCTTCTCTCTCCTCCCTTCCCTCTGCAGTTTTGATATGCTTATAACCGAGTAAAATTAGTCAAATTCACCCCTTCATTATTGTAGCTTTGAGTTGTTCTAGCGGTTGCTATTCCAGGAGACTTGCTACAAATCTTCCTATTTATGCGCTTGTTGGCACTACCGCCTTAGTATGTCTACTAACTTTCTATAGAATTTCTGGCCATTGAATAATCTATTTAGAACTAGAAAATAGAGCTATGATACGTTTATGTATACCACATGAAGGGCTGGTTTGGTATTGCTGTGTTTTGAAAAAAAAGCTGCTGTGAGAATAAGCGGTTGTGCTGTGAGAATAAGCGGCTGTGAAATAAATCAGTAGAGTGTTTGGTAAACTTTTTTGTAAAAGTTATTTTGGAAAAAAAAAAAAAAGGCAGTCTGATAGTGGGTCTTTTCATTAAAGGAGCATTGTAGCTCCGTGTGCTTTGAAAAAAATCCAGTTTTCCAAAGCTGCAAATAGTAGCTTCAGCTTTTTCCTTTGATTTCAGCTTATTCTCACAACTTCCAAAAGAAGCCATTTTTTTTCAGTTTACCAAACACCTAAAACCCTCAAAGCTTTTTTTCATGGATGCTTTTTTTTAAGCACGTCACTCCCAAACCACCCCGAAGTTGGAGTAGAATAAACTTCTTTTATCCTCCTGCATCTTGACACTCTTATTCTTTCTATGTTGAATCCTACAAGTAATTTGTAATTAGTTTACTATATATGGTATATGTAAGTCTGCACTTCCGATAAATTTTCTCGACATCAGTGTTTTAAGCTGAATGTTTTGTTAATGTAGACTGTTATAAATGTTTCCCATTCTTAATGTTGCACTAGGGGTGGGCACTGACCGGGCTTAATTTTGAAGGGACCGAACTGGATCGGAGTTCAAAGGAAACAAGCCGGGAATTACATTTTTAAAAATAAGAATCGAACCTTACCCAACCCGGTTGAAAAGGGTCGGTTCGAGTCGAGTCCTTGAGTCATTTTTTTTTGTTTGAATGAGAAAAAAAAATTAAAAAATTAAAAATTTGCACAAATTCACTACTAGTAGTAGGACAACGTCGTTGATGTCGTCTTCCTCAGCACAAAAGAAAATAAGTAGCACAGAGGCTGCACAATAAGCAACAAATCAAACCCATTTGATCATGCACACAGACAAAACCAACAAAACAATGATCAAAACATCAAAATTGAAAAGAAACAACGATCAACACATAAACAGCAACAAAAAAAAAAAAAAAAAAAAAACGAACAGAACCCAGAACTCAAAAGCATGATATTGTCCTCGATGGTGGTGATGGGTGGTGGTCGCGACGGCGTTGATGGGTTTATGATAGTCTGGGAGTGGGTTCTTTGATGTTGTCAAAAACCACCGTTGATTCCTCATTCAAGTCGAGTCCACATTCCTCTTCAAGTCGGGTCCACGGGTCAAAAACCACAGATTCCTCTTTAAGTCGAGTCCACAGGTCCAAAAACCCACCTTCAACACTGAATTCTTTGAGACCGTCGCCAGAAAACTTGTCCCTCGTGCCATCTTCGTCAATCTGGAGCCCACCATCATCGACGAGCTCGCTATCGTCGTCATGCCATCATCGTTCATCTTCAATCTCTACTATCCCTCAGGTCTCTCAGAGCATCTCCAATCTGGAGCCTTATGTCATCGTTGACACCAATTTCGAGACCGGAGTCGGGAGAAGACATCGAGTTAGGCCATCTCTAACCGAGGGCTGGCCAGAGGGCTCATTTTAGCCCTCTGGCCCTCCAAGATTCTCCAAGATATTAATATTTTAATGAACAGTACAGGGCCATATTTGCCTCCATCTCCAACCGAGGGCCAGAGGGCCAGATGGCTCGTTTTAGCCCTATCACAAAAAACCGTCTCCAACCGAGGGCCAAAGGGCCATAGGGCCAAACATAATTTATTATTTAAAAACTACAACTAAAATGTTGTTTAAGTTTCATGTTGTATAATTTTTATGTTGGTTAATTTTATTTAATGTTGTTTCATATTGTTTAATGTTGTTTCATGTTACTTAATTTAATTTAATGTTGTATAATGGCTTAGGAAGTTATAGGAAAAAAATAGAATTTAAAAAAAATATGAAACAAATTTTGTGAAATAGAAGTTATAGGAAAAAAATGGAATTTAAAAAATAATATGAAGTAAATTTTGTGAAATAGAAGTTATAGGAAAAAAATGGAATTTAAAAAAAATATATGAAATAAATTTTGTGAAATAGAAGTTATAGGAAAAAAAAAAATATGAAACAAATTTTGTGAAATAGAAGTTATAGGAAAAAAATGGAATATAAAAAAAATATGAAACAAATTTTGTGAAATAGAAGTTATAGGAAAAAATAGAAGTTATATGAAAAATTTTGTAAATAAAAATAAATAATAATAATGTAAAAAAAATATTAAATCAAATGCAACGGCTAGTAGCCGTTTCATTTGAATTTTTTTTTAAAACAATCATGTCGGTTATAACCGACAGGAATACACCATTATTTAGTATATTAAATAATAGTATGTATTCCTGTCGATTATAACCGACAGGAATAACAAAACTATAAAAAAAAAAATAGCCAGCCCTCCAGCCCTCCAGCCTTCCAGCCCTCTCTGATCCCATGGGGCCCTCCCAGATTCCAAAGCCCTCTGGCCTAGCCCTCGGTTGGAGACGGTTTTAGGGCTATTTTCGGCCTTCTGGACCATTCGGTTAGAGATGGCCTTAGGATTCAGAGAGATGAGCGAGAGAGATAAGGACAAAGGAAATGCCAGATCTGAGATTGAGACTCAGTGAGAGAGTGTTGTGAATCTGTGATGGGGTTGGGAAATGGAACTCAATCTCAACGGTGTGATTTAAGTGGTATTAAATCAATGGTGGAAAACGGTCCGGGCCGGGGGTTCGTTTTCCCAAAATTTTGGATCTGCCCAACCCTGCTTATTTCATGGACCCGTCCCACTTCGTCCCGTTTTCTATTCATTGATGTAAATATTGTGCCTTATTTTGGGTATTACCGTATTAGGTGAAGATGAAGTCTATTTGGATAAGAGTAAATTCGTTGTGTTTTAAATTTTTTTTTAATTTAGATAATCATGTTCAATTTTTTGGTTTGATTTAAATGAATTTCTTAAAAAAAAAAGAGTTGGTTTTCTGGTTAGTTTTTTGGGTTGTACATCTGGGTATTTCATACACACAAAAGTTAGGCTTTTCTGGTTAATTTTTTGGGTTATATATCTGGGTGATTTTATTTTCTTCAAATTTGTGGCTTTTGTGATTTGAGATATGTACATAAGTTGAAATTTAGTTTTTCTGATTTCAGCTTTCATTCGAATCTTGACACTTCCTCATCATTAAAATCGTTTTTTTGTGTTGTTCTTTTCCAAGCTCGGTTGCAGATCCACAAAGGCATGAAGGTATGTCATTTCAGTATATATTGTACATGTGTGTACATGTGGGAGTGTGTATGTGTTTTTTTTTTTTGGGTTGATTTAGTTAATGAGGTTTGTTTTAATTTCAGATTATTTTGGTTCTGGTTAAACTAGTCGGACGTTAGAAGAGTGGATGGTGTATGAAAAGCTTTGGTTTATTAAATAGAATGTGATTTAATGCTTTGTAATCTTTATAAACATATTTATCTATACAATTTCTAATCCAGCTACAATGCGTGAGCATAATTTCTAGTTTTTTCTAAAGGGAACAAGCAAAGCAAAGCAGAACTCCTAGGATCTCTACTCTGATACCATGCTAATTTAGACTTATTTTGGGATTTTAATTGTCTAATATTATTCTTCTCATCAAGAAGGCAAATATATATATATATATATATATGTATATATGTATATATGTATATATATATATATATATATGTTACAGGCTTGATTTACAAGGTAAGAGTATGCAATAATATTTACCCTAATTATACAGACTTAAGGGGGAACAAGATCATCCTAATTACACATAAAATTCAACTCACTCCAACAATTCTTTCGCCAAACTATGCCTCTTCAACTTGGTCTTTGACTGTTTTGGAGGAACTTCCACTTTCACTGGGTCATACTTCAATACTGTATTGACTCTCTGCCTTTCCACCTCCGTCTTGCTCATAGTTGCCAGATTCGGTCATTTAGTGTCTGAACTCTGTATCGGTACGTTCGTACTGATACTTGGACGGTTTGGTTGTGAATTTGGTGTCTCTAATCAGATTAGACAACTTGAACAAAGAACTGAAAAAATGCACCTGGGTCACCGTAAAATTCGCCGATGTCGTCCTTGTAGTTGTCGGGGAGACTTTCTGAAGAACAGAGGTGATTTGCTTATCCCCCTCGAGAAGAGCATCACACTGCGCATGTTCCTATTCGTCCTTGTATTTGTCGGTGAAAGAGAAAAAGGAAAGGTCAGGGAAAGAGAAGAAATGAGAGAGGAGGAAAGGATAGAGAGAACTGGAATGCGACACTGAGAATTGAGAAGAAATAACAAAAGCGAAGGGAAAGGAAACGTCTACAAATACATTAATTATTTGTTTAATGAATATTTAATAAAAAAATATTAAAGAGATAAATGATGATTACGTGAAGAAATAACCAAGGGAAATGATAAGTCCTTGGTATCCGAGTCATTTTAATTTTAATTCCTATCTATTCATCTTCCAATGAAATGTTCACGTGAAGAAATAACAAGGAAAAGGAATGGTGCGGTAGTAAATTAATTATAAATGTATTATTATCAATATTTTTATATACAAACTAATTTACATTCTTTAACGAATTTAAAATGGATCGAACTAAAAACCGTATTGCTTACGTCTACTCTCCGACGAAGAATACATCATTTTCCTACCTGGCGAAGAATACATCATGTTACTACCCAATCTTGTACCTGGACCGAATCTGCTCATCAACTTGAATCCCGTATCTGAACCGAATGGCGATCTCGAAATGTACCCGTATTTGCTTTTCCACGTCAACTCGCACATGCACTTCTCTTCGAATATGCTTCCGTGTCTGTAAAGAAAGTGCAAAGTTATGCCACCGCAACCATAATTGAGGCATTTGACAAAAACCAATTTCATCGGAATTCCGCAATGATGTGGTAAACATGGGAGCACTTCTAAGGAAGTACAATTATACGTGAGTATTTGTAATTTGCCGTTTAATGGAACTCTTGGCAGTCGTTTAAGCCTTTTGCAATTTTCCAAATTAATACAGAGCAGCTCAGAAAGCCTGCTGATGCTTTCAGGAAGGCTAACAAATTGGTTGCCCCTAAGAATTAGAACTCGTAAAAAGGACAAGGAACCAATATCATCGGGAATTGCTCCTTCACAAAGATTGCAGTCCGTCAGATTTAATTCCTTCAGAAAACATAAATCTTTCAACGAAGCTAAGACCACACTCGCAGGGTGAGAAATCTTTGCTGGAAATTCGCCAAAAGTGAAGAAGGAACGCCATGATCTAGCTGGTGGTGCATTACATCCAAGAAAATTTGATAGTACCAAATTTTTCACTGAAACCAGGGAGGATTCCGTCTCTCTCAAAGCAATTCCACTTAAATCAATCCTCTCCAAACTCCAACGTATAACTGAGGAAGGTATTTCCTGAACACCAGTTTCGCTTAAAGAAAGCGTCGAGAAATTTTTCATTTCTCCAACAAATTCTGGAATCTTTTTCACTTTTGAGCAGCCAGAAATATGAAATACTTCAAGAGATTTCATTTCTACCTTGTTTGGGAGACTCTTAACACTTTTACAGTCTTTAAGATTTAGAAGTCTAAGCCTTTTGAGAACTGCAACAGATGAATGAATCTTAACTAAATTTGTACAACCTTGAAGAACCAGCTCCTCGAGATTTTGAATACCTGTGAAATCTGGGGTCCTTGTCAAGTTGTGGGAGTAACTAAGATCGATAGACTTCAACTTGCCCAAGCACTGTACAAAATAGAAATGTTACAACAGTTCATGTTCAGAAACTACAATTATTGTAATTGACAAAGTAAAAATCAATTGTCCAATCATCTACCTTGATTCCATCCCAAAGGTGATCGATTTTGCTATGCTGCAGACTAAGTATTGTAAGTTCATCCGGTTGAAAAATTGGTGGTAGACATTTGGAGGGATACCAGCTCCATTTGAGAACTCTTAAAGCATTCGGAAGATACTTGGGGCCCTTAGAAAGGCTCACATTATGAATGTCGAGCAACCTCAGCTTACACATCTTAGTGAATGCTTCAGGATTCCAGTGTGCCTCTACAAATTCACTCAAGCGTAAGACTATGCCTTCAATTGCCTCTGATCCCTGATAAATAAGATTAAAGGAATAGTTAATTTCGTAATCAAGTCTCTTGTCATGTTAAATAGTATTACAGTGTTCTATCCAAGCTTTGGTATTTTCATTTTCACGCAACTTCTTACCGTATTCTTTGTGAGCACGTGCAAGATATCATGAGGAAGCCACAACCGACTACGACCACCTGGCTCATCGTAAGACTCTTGTCGAACAATCGCCCATGCCATTTCTTGTATCAAATCATGCATAGACACATACTTGTATGATTTATACAAGAGAGATTTCTCAATAAGAACTTCGATCACAATGCGAGCGCCAACAAAGCCACAGTTTTCTAGTCTTTCAATTACTTGCTCCTTTTCACGAAAGTTATGGAAACATGCAATGTCAAGGAAGATTCTCTTATCAAACTCATCTAGTCCATCATAACTTATTTTCAATGTGTCAAAAATTTTCGTATTAGGAGCTTGCTTCAGTTTATCTAGTGCACTCTTCCATTCATCTCGACCTCTTTTGTACAAAAAAGACCCTAAAGTTTCAAGAGCTAATGGAAGACCACTTGCATAACTGATGAAACATTTGGACAGTTCTAAAAAATCTTCTTCCAACTCATCATCTTTAAAGGCATTCCGACAAAAGAGAAAAAGAGCTTCATCTTGGGTTAATGGCTTAACCTCATAGACCATCTCTATATCATGTTTAACTAACAAACGTTCATCTCTAGTTGTAATGACGATTCTACTCCCGGAACCAAACCACTCTTTTTGTTTGACCAACTTTTCCAGTTGGTCTGATTGATCCACATCGTCGAGTATGAGAAGAACCTTTTTATTACGTAAACACCTACTTATCCTAGTGATTCCACTATCAGCATTCCAAATTTGTATGTTATTTTCCCATAAGATTTCAGAAAGAAGCTGCTTTTGTAGATGAGCTATGCCATCCTTAGAGCACACCCCTCTAACATTAGCAAGAAAGCTGCTACCTTCAAAATCATGAGAAATTCTCTCGTAAACTAATCTAGCTAGGGTTGTCTTACCCACTCCACCCATCCCCCATATCCCTATAAAGCGAACATCGTTTGCATCTGTATCTAAAAGCAAATCTATTTCCTTCAATTTAGAATCGATTCCGACAAACCTCTCTGAGGAATCTAACATTGACAACGTAGGATGCACTTCCTTCCATAGTGTATCAACGATTCCTTGGATAAGCTCTGTATCATACCTACAAGAAGAACAAACAACGTAAATAAAAAATTATCATATCCTAAAATAAAGTGCATGGTAACGTTGAAACTCAGTAGTAAAAAATTGTTCTTCAGCTATAAACGTCAGTTGTTGCCTTATGCTTACCTACAATCCTTTGAATTCCACCCAGCGAGATTAGCCACCCTTTCTAACGACTTTCTCCACTCATTTACCTCCTCCATGTGTTCTCGATAATTTACTTCATGTTCCGCAAAGGCTTCGCCAAAACTCCCTCGTTGATGGCGTACATCAGAAGGTTCCACGCCATAAAAAATGGGAAAAATTCTCTTTTTCTCTTCCATGCAACGAACAATATGAGTAAGTTCTCGCAAACACCAACTTGAAGAAGCAAAGTTTGTCGAAAGAACTATGATTGCAGACCTTGATTGCTCAATTGCCTTCAGGAGCTCTGGATTGATATCTGTCCCTCGTTCAAGTTCTGGTTCGTCCCTGAAAGTCTTGATTCCTCGCGCCTCCAACTGTTTGTATAAATGATCTGTAAAACCCCGGCGGGTGTCTTCACCTCTGAAACTCAGAAACACATGGTATTTCCATGGAAAAACTGCAGGAGCAGAATCCCGGGCCATTTGGCTGCTCAACGCAAATCGGAAGTGTTCCAAGCAATCAGCTCTAAGCACATAAGTGACACTTCGACACGCCGACGATATGCCCCTGACACGGGTTGGACACGGTCAAGACACCGGTCAATGGGTTGGACACACCTCCGACACGGGTTGAATTATTTTGAGGCAGATTTTGATATCTTGAAATCTTTGGGGCAATTTGGAAATATAAAAACTGAAGCCTAAAACTTCAGTCTCTAATCTATTCTGCACCTCCCTCCTCTTCTCCCACACTTTCGAAGAGGTGGATGATCTCAAATGGTTGGCTGGCGGAGCGAGGAAGGAAAGGAAGAGAGGTCGAGGTGAGAGCAGCAGAGAGAGAAAGCAATGTGAAGGATAGAGAACAAAGAGGATCTGATGGAGACAAGGGGAAATGAGAGAGTGGTGACGGAGTTGGTGGGAAGGGTATCATATATAGTTAAAAAAAAAGTAGAAAAAGAAGACGCCGAAAGTAGTTGGAGCATCATCTTTGAAAGTGATGGAATTGGTGGGAAATGTATCATATATAGTATCCAAGAAGGATTTGAGGATGTTTCGTGCTGGCATTCTTTGCTTTGTGTAATTGAATGATTGATGACACGGTGAGTATGTTTAATTTTGTGTTAGTGTCCTTTACTATTCGACAACTTCTTTTTCGTTTTTCTTTAAACGAAGAAATATCAAACCAATCAAGGTAGAGTGAGGCTAGCCTTGTGTAAGAAGCGGCGAAATTTCAAATTGGTTTAAGGTGTGTTAGGTGAGAAACTAAAATAAGAGAGAAAGATGCTTTTGTTGACGTTTGATAGTCGATTGGGAAGATTTTTCAATGTGACCATCACACAAGGTGGTACTTCATATGTCTCTATATGAATGGTGGGATATGTGTGTTAAAAGATTAATAACTTCAAAATTAAAAAATTTCACCATTTACATAAAAACACGTAATTTACCATCCGTATTCCCGTAAAAACTAAAAATTTCTCGTCCGATTGGACTTGATTCAATGTATCAAAGCACATGCTACCAATTCTTTTTTCTTCTTTAATATATGGGCCCCACACCACTCTTTTTCTTTCTTTTCTGTCAAAGTCGTAGATCTCACTTTTTATCATCTTCGTCTAGCACACACCCATTCCTCCTTTGATCGTAGCTAAAATCTTTTCCAGCCTCTCTCTCCACCACAGATATCACACACCCCACCCACCAACATTTATTTATTATTTTAAATTATGTTTTGTTTTGTTTCAAAATTTTTGTAATTAGTTAAATAGGAGTTTAAAAATCTTCTTTTAAAAAGATAAATATATTATTAACATTTTTATTAAATGGTTGGTGGAGAAATAAGACACAATGAAAATATATTATTAGATCGAGGTATGCTGGCCGTCATGTGAGGGTGACGTAGCCATGTGCACAGTGTGAAAACAATATTAATATAAGAAATGCGAATAAATAAAACCAAACAAACTAGAGTAGTAGATAAGATAAGGTGCAAGTGCGATATTAAGTGTGATTGCACAACCAGAGCATAAGTAGCCTAAGTGCAGTCCAACAAGACGAATATTAATTATACAACACCCAAAGATGATCTTACATTGGTGATAATCTGTCAGAACCTTCGTCAAATCCTCGTAAGCCACCAACAAGCACTCATACCTAAAACCTAGAGGGGCGCAAAACAGAAAGTGTGAGTGGGCAAAAACAAAGCTTTTCAAAACCATTTCATTTATCAAAAGTTCTAACCTCTCGCTGTAAAACCTGTATAATTTCCCATAAAATAGCATATATTCATATCTATATCAAAACCATGCTTAGAATAGCGATAATCATAAGTATGCCATGCCAAATATCTCAAAATAACTGAATAAGTAACTTAGGTGAATTAACTCATGAGAAATAACATATTAGCTGGATCCACCTAAAGTGGCTTGTACGGCTGAATCTATAGCTCAATAAGTATGCCTGCACACAAGTCGGAACCACCTATAGTGGTCTGTATGACAGGACTGGGTGTAAATAAATACGCTCTAGTGCTACAATCACGTGAAGACTGTGCGAATAATCGTGGGTCACCTACGAGTCGGAACCACTTATAGTGGTCTGTACAACAGGACTGTGCACCTAACTTGGATCCAAGGTGAGCGTATGGTGCGGGAGGTGAACATCACATGAAGGACTGTGCCCTAACCACGGGCGGGAGCACTAACACCGGGGTGCAAGTTTATGAGCTCTCAACACATCTCATATAATCATCAATTCACAATAAAAATCTACAACTCACCTGGTATTTACCTGAGCATCCACCGCGTCAAATCACATATGTACATACCATACAAATTCATAGTCTAAGTATAAATCAATAGGCATGGCATTTTAAACATAATTTCATTTAAACACATTTTCTGGGAAAATACAAATTCATAGTCTAAGTATAAATCAATAGGCATGGCATTTTAAACATAATTTCATTTAAACACATTTTCTGGGAAAAATACCAAGTATATAAGTATATACTGAAAACCAAAAACCCACTCACTGATATGTGGAAGGGTCATAACCCTCGAGTCTCGCTTGACTGCGCTCTTCCTCTGGATAGGTCTCACCTATATGCGAAACAACTATATAAACGTTATTTTAAAGCACATAAACAAAACTAGGTAATAACTTCTCATACATTGCTCAATTGGAGTGTTTGAATATACCAACGTGATCTACTCAACCCCATGAACATCCCCATATTTTTAGAAAAATTTTCCGATTACCCACGTGTCGTCACGCGCCGGCCAAGGCACAACCACACGCGCGGCCACATGCAGGCACGTGCCTGGCACACCAAACGGAATAGTTAACGTTGTTAGGGAATATTCCGTTAAAATATAGAATATGCTGTTAAAGATACCTAACGCCGTTAGAATATTCTGTCAACTTTGACGGAATATTCGCCTTTTTCTTCGGCAAGTCACCAAATTCCGTCGCCATCGCCGGAAACTGGGAAAAAGTTCTAATCGTCATATCTTCTTTAATTCTTAACCAAAATTCACAAATTTTATACCAAAATGAAGCTTATGATAAGAGGAACAAAATCTTACCAGTTTTAGGTCCTAAAACTCACGGGATCTTGCCGAAAAAGTCACGATAATCCGGCCACCTCTGCAACTTGTCAAACCCGAGCTTCCAAACGTCCAAAATACTTCAAAATCCTTCCTTAAGCTTCGTCAACAAGTTCTAAGGCTCCCTAGGACCTTAAAAATCAATGAATTCTTTGTGATCATGACTGAGCTACTGTGCACCTTTTCGGGGGTTTCCTGGTTTCTCGGGTTTTTGAGGTTCTTCCTCCAAACAAATGGTATAGCTCTACTCCTGAGCTTGCAAGGAACTCAAAAATGATCTCCACGAACTTGATCTGTGAGAGATGGAGTTGGTTGGATGATGACCGTACGGGTTGTACGGAAAATGGAAGAAAATCTGAAAGAGGAGAGAGATAGTCAACGAGATTGGTATGGGTGTGTGTGTCAGGTCCAACTTGGGCTACCAACCAAAAACAAAGAAAAACTTAGTTCTAATTGGGTCCAAACAATTAGAACTTAACATATTTAGTCCACAACCAAAGTGCATGTCACACAACATCTAACGTCCAAGGGTAATAAAGTCATTTCACACCATCGATAAAATATTTCAGGACAAGGTGTCACAAAGAAAATGAGGTATAAATTAAAATAAAATTTGACATTGACAACCTCAGTTGACATTAATTTGTATATCCATTTATCTTAGATTTAGAAGTGGTACTTAAATTTTCACTCAAATTTAGATTAAGTCCCTAAACAAAAAGTTCATTAATTGAGGTCTTAGAATTTAGCAAATGTGCACTATTGGACTTTCCGTGAGATTTTCGTCAATTGTATGTAAAATAACATAGAATGCACAATTAGAATTAGTCCCTAAACTTTGACCCTAATTTAGATTTGGTCCTCAACAAACATTTAGAATTGATACGTGAGATCTACTTGTATGCCATATCATCAGCTTAACAAAAGAAATTTATAAAAATTATTGGCAGAAACCAATAGTGCACACTTTGTTAAATTTATTGAACTGACGACAGTTCCTCAAAGACCTCACAAACTAGAACCAAACCTTCTTTGTTATATTATGAATTTGCATTATTATTTTTTTATATATTTAATATTATTACATTTTAATTGCCATATCTTTTTTTTTTTAAGATTTGTTGTGTCGTTGTATTATCCGGTTGTGAAAATTCCGGAGATTCTCTAATCACATCCATTCATTATATATCGTGTGGTTAAAAATCATTATAATTTTTTTATTTAAAATTGAATATAAACAGTACTTAATAAAAAATGATCATACGATACACGATGAACGAATGTAATTGAAGGTTCTTCCTGAAATACTCACAAAGAGGATCCATCCTTTCTCGATATGTACATTGTGATTGGTTCATATAATACTGAGCTGGCAACAATTGAACAGTATGGTCGCTGTCAGTGGAGAGGTCACCTTTCGGTGGGATGCATTGAAAGATGCAGACCATATGAAGTGTTACAAAAGAAAAGCAAGAGTAGACTTGCTTTTTTGACTTTGGGAGCATTTGACTAGAGAAGCTAGTGGATGAAAGGTGATTGATGTCATTGGCGTTTTTTTTAAAGGAAAACTAATGAAAAGAGCTTGAAAACTTTGAGTTTTAACGATAAGGACAAAATAAAGGGTAAAGTGAATAGTACCAGGATTGACTTTTTAGTGTAAAAATGTGGTTTTTCGTTAAAGTAAACAGTACCGGGAGCTTCTCATTAAAGTTCTTTTTTTTTAATGCAAGGAAATGCTTGCATTGTGGTATGCTAGTCGAGGGAGAACGCAGGCATCAGGGAAGCACCCAAAAAGATGGCTAGAGCATTTGGCCTTTCCTGTGGGCACGGTTGGGAGAAATCAATAGTGAAAGGTCTCTGGTGAAATAACTTTTGGGATAGAGTAGGGTTCTTGGGAAACTTATCCAAGTGGATGTACAATATATTTGGAATTAGGTTATGTCGATTCAACTCATATGCAACTTGTGTTATTATTCTTATAATAAAGAACAATACTTGCTAAATGCTATTGCTGCTATTAATATTAAATTTTCCAGTTTCTACAACTCACTGTCGTTTACTAATATATTATGTTCAACATGTGGCAAAGAAAGTCTTCTTTTGAATCTATATTATATATGTTACATTATCCCATGCAAACTCACAAACACAAAATTGAACATTATTCTTTGCAACCAAACATCCTTTCAAAAGCCTCAGAAAAGCAAAACTAGACATTTCCCAGAATGACCAGAAAACTTGTCTAGGGATGATTTTGGGTTCCCCATGATCAAATAGCATTAGAAAAAACTCCAAGCCAATCAACATAAAAAGGGAGGTAGAGAGAGGCTAGCTTCGTGTGAGAGGAGGAAATTTCTAGTTGGTTTACGTGTATTAGGTGAAAGTGAAATGGGAGAGAAATAGGCTAATTTTTAACTTTTGTTAGTCTTGGACAAAGATTCTGTTGACTTTTGTATTTTAGGTAGGATCCCTAATTGATATGTAATCCCATGTAATCACTTGTA